TGACCAGCTTAAAGTTTTTGGAGTATGTTCATTTTGAAGTTGTTTGACCTATTTGGACAATTTGCATGAAAGGTACTACTAAGGATGCACACTGCTGGACTTGTTTCAGATAAATTTGATTCATATTTCCCAGATAATCGAGTGACCATATTTCTTAAATCATAAAAGCCCCATGTTAACCAGTTTTAATTTATTTTGTCACGATTACAATTAAATAATACTTCACTTTATAATTAACAGAGTGAGAAAGATCTATGACCGTGCAGAATGTTGCATTCATTACAATTTTGGAAGATTATTCTTTGAAACAAAAAAAAAGAAGTGAACGATGAATGAAAATCCTCATTTCAGCGCAACATTATACAAAGTATAGCATTTCAAATGCTTTATAATCATTAATGGAGGTTAAATGCAGTCGGCATGTGTATTTTTAAAGTACACCTAGAAAAGAGGTACCATTGTTATGTTTCATTGAATACTGTTCGTTATCTCTATAAATTTCATTGACCATTATAGCTGATTGTTTGTAACTCAATGATTTAAAAATATCCATAATTTTTTTCTACAGTCCAGCTAAATCATAATAATAATGTTTCAGTCGCCTAATAAGTGTTAAAATCAAACATTCTAATGTGAGGAAAATGCAAAGTGTTGGTTGTTTAGGATTATATAATCACTTGAAAGAAGTAAGACATCTCTTTCAGTCCAATGTATGCAGTATACTTTTCAAGTCGTTGAAAATGAAAACGTAACTTCAATCATCGTGAAAGGTCAACATGTAAATACACTGGGTCTGACTAGGAGCCTGGATCTTTCATTTGGTGACAGAACATCATTTCTATTTTAATTTCTGCCGAAGGTTATGTTATGAGGTTAGTAGAGAGAGTAGACTAGAACACTCTGTCAGAATGGAAATTTAGGGGAAAAAAATTTTAAATCCTGCAAATGAATGAAAGGCAGATGCAAATCAAATTTAGACTACATAAACAGTATATGAAAGTTTTAACTTAAAATACTGGGGCCCTTTTTACAAAAGGACTTACGACTTAAGACCAAATTTAATTCTTCATATAGCTTTTTAATTAACATTATATCGAAAATTATTTTCTTCTTTTTAAAAAGAAAGTGGTAAGAAATTTTTACACAACCAATTTCAAAGAGAAATATTAATTTTACAAAATTTTACAGCAATCTGAATTTTTTGGTCTTAGTTGTAAGTTCTTTTGTAAATTGGGCCCCTGGTTACAAAATCATCTTTATTTGTAGGGCTTATTATCATTGTTAATTAACGTCTTGAAATCCTACATATACAAACAGTTCACTTTCCGAGGATTAGATCCTTTTAAATCACATTTCATTTTTTTAGAAAAATATTTTTTTTACATCCCAGTTAATCAACCCTACCTTACTTATTATATTGTACCTGAATACTCTACCTATAGTGGATTCATAAACTTCATAAAATTCCTGGCAAAGATAGGTAGTGAATGCTCTATCAAACCAAATTTTTATACCTTACCAAATAAACATTTTCTATTTGATATTGAATTGCTGAGAAAAATATCAACATCAACATTAACGCGGCTTCTCCCTTAATGTGAAAAATTCTGTAGTATAATTTAAAAAGTACTTTCATTTCAAAACCTTTGTTTCCAATTTAATTACAGTCTTGTCTGCAAAAATTCCTTTCAAAGAAAAGATACAATGCGTCTATTATTCAAGTTTGAAATTCAAAATAAAATCGCAATCTTCTATAAGTCACATGAAAAAGGGAAAAGATAGCAAACACTGATCGATCTTTAAAAAAATCACAACTGTAAAGAGGGCACATAAAAGGGTCCCTGGGAATTCCAGAGGTGTGATCAGGTGTCCAGGAGTAGAAAGCATCCCCAGTTGACCGGTTACCCCCGTCGTGAACCCCGTTTATTAATCACATGGATGCTAATATAAAACTTTTTCATATTTCGTTTTTTTAATCATATAATAAAAAAAAAATACTGCTGGATTTTGTCCATAAAAACAGTTTAAATACTATACCTTTCAGTGAGAAAGTATTGTTAGCCAATTTCAAAAACAGACACCATTTTGTGTTCCTTTTTTAATTTCTTATTTCCATGCATATAAAATGATTTAAAAATTGTTAAAACAAGGTTGAATAATTTTTTTCCATGTGTCAAAATTTAATTTCCAATTCCTCTCACGCTTAAAGAATTATACACAGAGCTGCTGTTTAGTCTTCACCTAGAGCTTTTTTTCTCCGTAATATTTATGATCTGTTGGTGTTTCTCAATCTACAATAAAACAGATATTTTTAATAAAATAAAATATGATAATACAATAAAATTAATTGTGGATCAAGCTGAAAATTAGATACAAAATTTAGATATATGATGCTTTTAATAATGAAGTATTATCCTTGTCAAGCTAGGCTCAGTATGTCTTGGTTTGAAATTTAACATAAAAGTTTTAAAAATAGTTCTTCTGTCTGTTTTGCATCAAAATTATTTTCACATATGTAGATAAGATCTTTCAGAGAATATCCGTCATCAATTTAACACCGTTTCTCCAATAGCATGAGTAATGTTTTTTGCAGTCTATACTCATCGAAACTCCCATAATATGAAGAAAGCCATCTTCAAATTTACCTGTAACAGAATTCTCTATGTTAATATGTCTGTATATATGCAGACGCGCTGTGCTGTTTAATGCATCCGAATGTCCATACCACAGACGGTGAGTTCTATGATCATATGCTATACATGTAGGTCTAAAAAACCCTTGTTCCTCTGAAAATAGGTAAGACAGAAATTTACCGTCTTTATCAATCAAATGTACAGTCCTGTATAAAACGTCACACACCAGAATGTTGAGCAGCGCATCTGTGCAAATTCCATGCGCAGTAAACGTGTCTCCTGAAACTGATGGATTTCCGGTGTATGTGAAACGGTGTTTTCCATTATAGTCTGTTACCTTTAAGGACCAGAAATCAGCCACCACAATATCCTCGTTTCCATTCTCTGTGATGTAGGTAGGATGGTAATACAATTTCTCACCTTCATCGTTGTACTTGATGGTGTGAACATATTTTCCTAAGCTATTATAACGAACTACTTTTGTACGGGTATATTCATATGTAGTCCTTTCAAAATATTCATTTCCCATACCAACTAGCAAATCTCCCGTGTGAGATAAACTGAAAATACATAGTGGTATCCATTTTTTTGATTTTCTAACCAGTATACTTTTATTGTTGTAGTCTGAAGATATTAAGGCGATGTCATGATTTCTGTCTATATAAATCAGATCACCCTCCTTGTTCACAGAATGCACTCCAAATGAACTAACATTTGTAACATCGTTTAGTTGAAACAATGTATCCCCTGCAATGTTCATCAAGAAGAGATTGTTAAGGTGACTAACCCAGACTCGATCGGATGTTACATAGGAAATATGATAAACGCTAGGTATATTTATTAATGGGACGGATTCTTTGAGTAACGGCTTTGGCATCAACCTTAGCATTGTATTACTTCCTACCATTTTCCTTCGTCTTTCCATGATTTCAAATTTAATCAAGAAATCAGAATCCCACATTTTTATTTCATCGTTGAAAATAAAGGCAAAGATAGCATACTTATCCAAAATGCTTTAAATATAGATTTTCTTCTTGGATAAGAGAAATTGTACTGGTTCTCTAGCCGAATGGTCGTATGAATGTTCATACTTCTCAATGAAGGAAATGTGTCTTTTTATTGCTTGTTATGTTCCCCAAACGAAGTTGGGGAACATATTGTTTTTACTCTGTTTCTTATTATTATTATTTTTCTTCTTCTTCTTCTTCTTCTTCTTCTTCCTGGGTACTTTTTTGTCCGGGAATGATCTCGTTAACTATACATCCGACTAAGGTGAAATGTTTTTAGGGTCAGTAGACATGTTATGTAGATTTGCGGAACGAAGGTCATTTTGCGCGCACGTGCTTGCAAGAGCGTGCACGTGCAACATGTAAAATGACAGATTTAATTGATATAGGTGTAACTTTTTAAATTTTTGATGAAATGCTTTAAAACTTATAACATAAGGATATATTAGTAGCATAGACAATATGACATGGTCAAAATAGCAAGATCTAACGCGCATGCACGTGCACTTTGCTCTGATTGGCTGAAACTAAAGTCTCAATATCTTTCTTGTTTTTTGACGAAATCCTTTGAAATTTTGAAAATAGCCATGCATTACAATATCCTACAACATGATATATAGCAATTATCATGAAAACACGTGCATGCACGTGCGCTGCAATCTGATTGGCTGAAACTTTAAATAGCTATAACTCCTTTGATTTTCAACCAAACAGGATGGGATTTGGAACATAGATAGATATACTGGTCTACTACAAGAAAATATGGTCACCATGCACATGCATACACGTGCATGTACGTGCGCTGCAATCTGATTGGCTGAAACTTTAAACAGCTATAACTCCCTTGGTTTTCAATCAAACGGGGTGGGATTTAGAACATAGATAGATGTAACGGACATCTACAAGAAGGTATGGTCACCATGCTCAAGTATGCACGTGCGTGCAGGTGAAAGGAGCAAAATCCAAAAAACACTTGAATGAGCGCATCTTTTTTAATACTTTTGGATTAAATACTTTAATATTTGGTATATTAAAATATATAGATTGTGTAGACAAGATGATATGGTCATTACACACATGCATTCACATGCGCACGCATGCAATGCTAAAATTTGAATGAACTTTGTACACTTCTGGGTAAACGTAGTTAAAATCTCAAATGCATGGAGTGTGTCTTATTTAATGAAGCCTCCAGGGAATATGGCACCAAAAAGGAGTTGGGGAGCGTTTGGGGAACATCTGTAACGGTCCCCGTTACAATTAGCACTAGTTCCTTTTGTTTCATCATACATCTCAAATAATAAACTCTTTTCGATATAATTGCATCCATATCAATTTTCAGTCTCTGAGCTTGTTTTGTAATTTTTTGCTTCATTTTTCTTAAAGTGTTTATATTTGTATTGACACTAGTTTTGAGTGATTCCAGTATATCAGTTTCAAATAAGAGGATATCACTTCTGATATTAACAATTGTATCTCTGTATTTTTGTCTATACTCTTTATATACGAAACGTATATCAGATATTTCATGATTTCCATGCCCAATGCATGCAAAACATATTGGTTGTTCACATGAATGGCACCAACATTTAAACATCTTGTTCGGATGTGTACCACATTTTTCTGGTATTATAAAGTCTCCAGCCTTTGCCCGGTAATTTACTACATTATGGTATTTCGTATAAAGATTTCTCAAATGTTTCATCTCACAAGGAGCGCATAGATTTTGTTTACAAGTGTTGCAGTAAAATTCAGCTTTATCCCGACATAGAGAACACTTTTCAAGTTCATATTTAGAGAGGCCTTCATTCATTATTGTTTTTATCGTCACCCCACATGTCCACACCAGGCTATAAGTTTCCTTCGTTAATTAATTAGTGGGTGGAGAGTTCTGAACCTGTTAATATAAAAAAATCAAGCATTTTTAAAATATCTTCCCCATTCTCCGATTATTCTATTGCGATAAAATGAAATAACTTTTTTACAATTAATCTCGACCAGCCGATGAATTATATCATTTTTGAATAGAATTTAATAAAAAAATTTTTGAATACATCCAGAAGAAGCGTGCAGTACTAGTTTACATAAATAAAGCCCATTGTAAATTTGGAAATTAATACGTGAATTGTTTAATTATTTCATGTTTGTACAACACATTACAGAGTATTTCAATGTATAGGATATGTAGATGCTATATAGTTATTTATTACATACTTAGATACATTTATTACATACTTAGATACATAAATACAGGATTTTTGCATATGCGATATACCTGACGCCACAATAGCCGTATCAAGGATCAATATCACACCCCTAGTAAATAAAACCACAAAAACAGTGATCATAAACAATTTTTTGGTGGGTTCATATACTCTTAATTTTAGCTTTTTGAAAATAAGCATAATCTTACTTACAAATAAGTGATTATTTTCAAATTACGGATCAAATGCACTAGAATTAGAAGCAGAAAAAAAACCCCAAACTTTATGAGGCAAAAGACCATGTACATGTATGTAAGGAGTCCATGCATGATTATTTACTTACTTTCTTCTCAACTTAATGTGTGCTGTATTTTATTACTAAGTGTGTAATAAACATAATAATACATACCCTTTTCCACATCACATCCTGTATCAGCCCTCGACCAATATCAGCCCTCGGGCCTTCGGCCCTATGGCTGAAATTGGTGTCTCGGGCTGATACAGGATGTGATGTGGAAAAGGGCATGTATTATTCTCTATGTACTGTATCTTTTTGATGACTTCTATTTTCAGTGATTAAGAGTAAAGAAAAAATAAAATTATTACATTGTCAGTATTTACTGCTTTCAACTAACTACAGGGAGCCAAGGGCGTCGGTCGACAAACGATGCTTGGTCATCCATTGCATTTGATCCCGCCTCATATATTTGGAGGTCCATTTTTTCTGCTCCTAATTTCTTTACTTCATCTTCTGAAATGTAAATTGTATTTGTCAGAAAATGCAATTTTTCATTGAGACTAATGCTGAGGCCAAGCTTAAAAAATTCTTTGTTTGCAGTTGCCGATCTATAATTTTTAGATTGGGTAGGTAGGTAGGCAATTTTTTTTTAATTGTTTCCAGATTTTTGTAGGATAACATAAAATAAAGTTTTCATAGGCCTACTATACATGAATAAGCTGCACTCTTGGAACTAATGATAAATGAAGACAAAAATTGAAAATGAAACAGTTTTAATATCCTGAAAATTGGAGAGAAAAAATAATATTATAAAATGGCTAAAAAAAAGTTTGGGTCGGGTGCATTTTCAGTGGGTCGGTAGGCAACTGCAAACAAACAATATTTTATTTTCGGCCTGACTCATGTTTTTCAAACTAATTGTTAGTCCATTATTTATACATTGAATTGGAAATGACGACGGATTTTTCTGTTATTGCCTGATCATGACAAGGAGCACACGGCGAGTATGACCGATCAGCAGGAGATGCCCACTCCTCCATGGCACCTGATCCCATATCTTATGTTTTGATGGTCCGTGTTTGCTCTGCTCCCATTTTGTATTGTTTAATGGACTTTTATATTGAGTACTGTTCGTTATCTCCATATCCTTCATGCTAGTATACATATTCCTGTTATTAGCTACCCATACTTAAATTCTAATTTTAATGCTATAGCGATACAAATTCATTTCTAGGAAGAGTTCTCTGCCTTTAATAGGTACTACCTCAATATGCATGTCTAACGGTTGATTGATATTGATTAACGCTGAGTCGGCAATATTTTATTCCAATTTCGGCAAGCATAAATAAATAAAGCCAAGTTAAAGCAATTTTATACATTTTAACAATGAAGTACCGAGACTAAAAATTAAACACAGTTGAATTACAACTTTTTTCGCAGTCATTTTAAATTTTACTGCAGTCAGGAGTGCAACAAAACTGTTTTATAATTATCAATGAATTTAGTTTTTCTTCACTAAAAACATGCTTTCAATATATCCATCAACAAAGTATTTTTGTAGGACAACTTTTGTATAAAACATATTTTAAGCTTAAATTAAAAAAAAAAATGCTGAGTGGACAAAAACTTGTTGGGGGAAAGTTTTATATATCTAATATGATAATGTTCTGATATTAAATCTTCACAAACCAAAGTTAAGACAATGCATGTTAAAAAAAGCTTTTAAAAAGCCCATTTCTTCTCAAAAACAAGGGAAAAGAAATCAAATCAATCTTTAGATCTAATCGTTACATTTCTGATACAAGTCAGAAGGATAAACAATTATAGTTCCTTTGATAATACATATTGAAGAGTCTTTGAAAGTGTAGTTATTTTTTTTCAAATTAAGTTCTAGTAATAAAAATTTATAAATATTTTATGCCTTTGTCAATTCCATTGTCACTTCAGCTATTATAACTTTGCCATATTTATACAATTTAAGGTTATAACTAAAAAATATTTTATGGTAATGAAAAATTTAAAAAAAAGTACCGAGAACTATTTTTAATTTATTCTTAGGCATGATGACATATACTTTCATTCAGAAACTTTCTATATTAACGGGTAATATCCCTCTGCTCCAAATTTCACATTTTTTTTTTAATTCCAAACATTGATTTTCATCATCAAATAGAGCATTAAATTCAAAATGGAAAATAGTTTGAAGTATGAATCGTTGCTTACTTTTTCAGAAATGAATAATATGTCAAATCATGATATGAAGAAAATTTGATATGGTAAATAGAAAGATCAGTTAATTTTGTATCTCACAATAAAATTAGAAATATGAAGTATATATAGAAATTATAATATTTACTGTCATACCTATCTAATTGTCATTAGAAAACATACTGAAGCATTGCTTTTTAAATCAGAATATCAAATTGTTTTCTGTGCTTTTGAAATAATATGCATTAATTAACAAGAGTTATCTTTCCATTATCGCCCTTGAAAATATTTTAGTGAAACAAAATATAAATCAATGTTTATAAACAATTCTGCATCTGAAATTTCTCTGACTTTAATATACGTTAGGAGATATTAATATCTCAATTTACACCATTTAAAGGATGTTTTAGGTAAACTATTACAAATAATTAATAAAAATATTGGCAATAGAAACTAGAAATCCACATCTGAACATTATTATAGCTTCTAATGAGTTGACTATAAAATGGTTCTTGTGAATTAAATCTATGAAATATGACATGAAAATTCATTGAATTTCATGGAAAATTGTCTTCAGAAAGTTATCTCTCTTAGCATATGGTTACTGCCCCTTAAATATTTAACAGTTGTTTATAATCAATATAAAAATCAGAGGTAAAGTGATTAATGGGGTTTAGCTACAAAACTCTTGAATAGGAAGTTTTTTCTTTTATGGTTAACAAAATTAAGGATTCGTTCTTGGTAGACCTAAATGTTTTTTGATTTACCAGACACAACAAAAACACATGGTCATATAACAGATCGTGTTTACACATATAAAACGTGTCAACACGATCTGTTACTGTAAGAACGTAATGTTGTGGGAAATAGTTTACATACCTGGCACATCCTGTGCGGTTAAAGTGTTTTCTGTTGCATTTTCATAATGAATAATTTGCTTGAAATAAAAAAAACTTACTTGTAAACTTAGAAAAAATATGTCATTTGGCCATCAAGACGGTGCTCTGATTGTTGTTCCTCTACTAATTGGCCCCGGTACATTTATATTGCAAGAACCGAAAGTATTTAGAAATAATCTTTCCCGAACAAATGATTAAATATTTTTGTTTTTTGTTTGTTTGTTGTTCTTGTTTTTTTTAAATTTAGAATTTTGACATGAAGAGACTTATAGAGGTACGAGGGTTGTCCAAAAAGTTCCTGAACAATGACGTTTTTGTTAAAATAAATGGCTTTATATATATTTATTAATTTAATGTATATCAAAATATTTCTTATTAAAATCAAGTCAGAAAGATTTCATTTTTATTGATGGAACTTTACATTTTCGTAAAATTTGGGGTCTTTAACATGTTTCAAGATCGCGGATAGTGCGCATGCACGGACCAGTCTGACTTTAAGCTAATTTCATTATAACGTCAAACAGTTGGATATTGAATTTTGAATACATGTTCATGGACGCACACTACGTACATTTTAATCATTATGTCGCACTGCAAAGTGCCAGCAAAAATCTTAAATTATACATCATAATTATTTGTTTTTTTTTTAATTCAAAACAATATATACGATAATCAATGAGCGTCATCAATATAAACTATCCATAGGCGTCGGAACCCACTTTTTTCCCAAATATGTACTTAGTACAGGCATTGAACATATCTTCATAAGTTTAGCCCCCCCCCCTCCCCACTTTCCACAGATACGCCTTAGTATAGGTTAAAATTGGGAAAAGTGTTCGTGTTTGGAAGAAAACTTTTGGTACTGGAGTTCGAACGTCGTTACAAGCTTATCATTAAAACATATTTTTTTTATCGGACGTTGCCCCGTTCGGACGGCCGAGGTCACTTTTCTGTCGAGTTTTGACACCTATTCGTGAGGATTTTTGTTCCGTTTTTCCACTGTCGATTTAGTAATCCATACTTATTATATGATATATAAAAGAAAAATGATTATAGCCTCTTTATTTGTGTTACATATAATGTTTATTAAGCTTTGACTTGCTTTATATAAAAAAATACACATTTTAATACAAACACTTATTTTCCACCTTGGGCCATGAGCACTATCGACGACCATTAAAGACCCCAATTTTTACAAAAATATAAAGCTATATCAATAAAAATGAAATCTATCTTGCTTGATTTTTCCACAGAAATATTTTGATATATAAATGATATATATAGAAACATTTATTTTAACAAAAACTTCATTATCTACGAACTGTATGGACAAATCTCATACTTGTTACACAGAAACTTATAAAAATCTAATAGGGCATGTGTTTTAAGCAGTTCTAGTATTCTAGAAAAGCCGAATGTATTTCCTACGATCTATATTTTCATATTATGTAATACCTTTTTTATGTCTCCCTCATGTAAAGAAGAGCCCAGCGGATGTATCTTTCAGAAATAAAAAAAAATCTTCGACATCTGGCTTGGATGAACTGATTTATTTCATTCAGTTGAACACACAGATATTTTTGAAACATTACATATAATGCAGGGACCTGGGTTCTCCAAGAGCTGTCTTACTGTGTCGGACCCGACACAGGAAAAGTTTATCCGACACAGCAACGATTTAAATTTTATGTGTGTAACACCGTTAAAATATTCCGACACGGTAAGATCTTTGATAATCGGAAATTGATAATGGAAAACCCTGTATAATATGTGTAGGCGAATTGAAATGAAACCATGCTCCACACTTCCAAGCCTGTACTGTACAGGTAAGTCTGAGTTTACCTTTGAGGTAGGTTAATCGAATGTATATAAACAAAAAAAATCACATCAATAAAATATCACAAAATATAACTTACAACAGTTTAAATACAGCCCAACAAATGTGTCAAAATTGTAAATGACACATCTCAGCAACAAAACCATTCGCAGACGGTCAGAGTGTCCTGAGGTTATGATAGTTTGATTCAAACGTAATCAGAAATGTTCCACAGTTTTATACAGTTACAAAGAGGGCACACATTCAGAAATGATCCATATCTATATACTTTCCAAAAGAACATATAATCAGAAAGGTTTTACAGTTTTATAGTTAGAAACAAAACACATTATCACAAATGTTCAACAGTTATATATATAGTAACAAAGAGAACACATTATCAGAAATATTCCACAGTTATATAGTAACAAGTAGAACACATTATCAAACATGCTCTACTGTTACAATATTTATTGTATATAGGTACAAACAGAACACATTATCGCAAATGTACCACAGCTTTATGATCACAAACAGAGCTTGGGTGAGTATTCGTGGCAAGGGAGACAACAATGAATTTATTACCTAACTTGGATGTCAGCAATACAATAAAAACTTAGGGTAAACCAAGTATCATGCAGTAGACAAGTATATACAAAATTGAAAACTAATTTACATGTAATATAAATCTAGAAAGGTGAAAGACGAACCTTTCAGATTCAGTTGTATTTGCTAACAACTCAACCTAAAGTAGCTAAAGAGGAAGAGTCTAAATTTGTTTTATAGGCCTCACTTTGCTAATCCTCTTGAAACTGAACAAAATCAGATGATAATATTCAAGAGCAAATAAGGCATCGCCTAAAGAGGATACAGATTTGAAGATAAATTCCTTTTAATACCTGTTTCCTTAGATTTGACTTATACAAAAAGGCTGGATTACCCAAACTGGAATAAGGAGTAAGCTTGAAAAACAACATGAGCACTGTGTTAGGACAATAAAACGAATTTGGAATATAAGCTTAATTTGCTAAAATCTCAACCTAAAGTAGCGGCAAACTCTTGTCTGTAAGCTAAAGAGGAAGGGTCTCAATTAGTTGAATAGGCTTCACTATGCCAATCCCCTTATCTCTATATTACATTTCAAACAGTAAAATATCTCCTCTATCATTTAAATTTATATACATGTAATATCCTTTTTAAATACAGTGTAACTAAAAAAGAAGATCTGAAATCAATCATCGTAAAAATACTATGGGAACCATGAGTTTTTGCTTGGCGAAAGAACATTTCTATTTTGAATTCTGCCGAAGGTTATTTTAAAGGTAGGGGTTTAATAGATAGAGTAGACTCTGTCAGAACGAAATTTAAGGGAAAATAAAAATAAAAAAATCCTGTAAGCAAAATGCGAATACTGGAGTACCTACGTTTTTACAAAGTCGTTGGTGATAAAAGAACAAGATTATATGAACAGTATGTAAAATTTTTACATCAAAGTCAACAAACTCTACCCTATCTACATTGTTATACCCAAATACTCTTCCCATAGTGAATTCCTAAAGTTTCTAAAAATCCTAGCAAAAATATGTAGCCGGCTTCATTAAACCCCCCATTTTTATACATTACCAAATAAACATTTTTTATTTAACATTAATTGCAGAGAAAATATTAACATAAACATTAACGCCACATCTCCCTTGGTGTGAAAATTTCTGAATTAAAATTTAAAAGGTACCTTCATTCCAAAACCTTCGTCTCCAATTAGGCTACAGTCTTGTCTAAAAAATACCTTTCTAAGAACAAGATATAATGCTTGTATTATTCAAGTTTGAAACAAATACCAATATTTTATTAGTCACTTACACTGAACGGGAAAAAATAGCAAACACTGATCAATCAATATACAAAAAATTCACAAATGTCAAGAAGATATATACACAGACCCCCTGGGAATTCCAGATGTAGGATCAGGTGCCAAAGAGTAATATATATTCCCTGTTGACAAGTCACATCTGCCTTAAAACCTGTGTATTGATCATGTAGATGTTAAAATAGAACTTTTCAGATAGGTTGCTTTTGAGGAAAAGAAATATGCTGCTTCTTGTCTATGAAGAACTGTTTAAATTACACCTCTCAGTGAGAACATAAGATTAGTTATGAAACTTCTTATTTTATTATAACTGCATGTAAACAGATTCAAAATTGTGAAATAAGTTTGAATAATGTTTAACAATGTGTCAATATTTCACTTCCAATTCCTCTAGTGCATACAATTATACACGGTGATGCTGTTGAGTCTTCAAATAAGGCTTCACTCATATCCCGTCAATGGTTCTGATCTGTTGGTATTTCTCAATCTAAAATAAAAGAGAATTTTAAGCAATCTTTAAACATTGTTTGCTTGCCCTATCCTAACTCAGGGTAAAATTATTAAATATTTTCCCACCTACCTACAGACACATTGTTGTGTCAACTGAAATAGTTGTTAAGAGCTTGGAATTCGTGGATCTTTTAATTAAAGTTTATTAACACAACTCATTCTTATATTTTTAAAGAAGGCAAGATTGTATTATGTGTACTTCATCTTTTATGGCATGGAAGTCGTATTATGAAATATTTTTGTCAATATTTGATAAACGTACTCACTTTAAATCAAGGAAAAGTATACTGGGTGTCTAGAATGAAGACCATCCTCTGAGATTGAATATAGGATTTGACATTAACCAGACAATGAAAGAAACTATAGAATTTTAATTTTTGTTATGATTGAAGCATTGAAGATTAATATAATGGTTTGCTTAATGTTTTAGTATATGGCATGTACCTGTAACAAAAATTACATTAAACTACATTATTTTAAGTCGACTACATCAAACTAACACAGCTGTCTGCTCAGCAGGCTCATATTACCGATTGTTCATATATAAACACATACTGTGGAATCATACATGTTTGATCATATATAAAGACATATATATTTCGGTTTTGGCGTTTGATAATTTACGCAAATGTAACATAATTTATCGAAAACTTTTTGTTTTGAGGCATTTAAAAATGCAGTATCGAATCATTAATTATTTATTAACATTTTGATTCATTAGATTATATCATTTGTTTGAATTAGTTATTACCTTTTATGCACAAAATGTTTTCTCCACTTCTTTATCCATGGTTGCTGATAGTTGTAGAAGCTCAACCAACCGAAAAAATTGACGTATACTTTAAGAAACGGTTCTCGCATTCGCTCAGTTCCTACCATTC